ACAAAGATGAATTGTCATAATGGTATAAGCTGAAAACTTCAGATATAAGCAAACCTCATAAGCACTATCTTGTCTGTAACAACAACAGACAAGCTACCTGTCATCTGCTACGATATGTGATTGGATGAAGATGATCAGCCACGTCTTCACTTGTCAATTGTGATTGATAATGATGTTTCCAATTCAGTTTCGTGAGGGTTTGTTGTGGTGGGTCTCGACCTCGAAGATCTCTATGATAAGAACCAAAGTTGGGACAATCGTGGACACCCCACGTTCCCGCAATGGCTCCTCCTTTGGTTCTTTGGGATGGGTGGGCTTAGCTTAGCTTACAGTTCCGACGGGGTTAGGGGAAACTCCGTGGGGTTGAAGCCGAGTGATAGTTACGGAGTTGGGGTAGGAGCTTCGTGTCGACTAGTCTACTCCTTCAAGCAGGTGCTGAAAAGGATCAGACTTTTCTATTAATAATTAGGGGGGAGTCAGCTGACACTCCTCAATTGAATTTCGGAGTTTTAATAAGGTTAGATGCCTGACGATGCCTGGTTTGGCCTGATTTCAACAGCTTCGTAAATCTCTTCCCCAACCATTAACTAACTATTATGAATTGGGACCAAAGTACGGAATCCGTTGAATTGGATCTCTTGATTAATTTCCACTGCAGTCCTTTGTACACCTGAGAGAAGGAGATGCATTTGATGCATTTCTAAGCGCACCGAGAATCATCGAGACCTCGACCAGGTCCTCCAGGGGCCAGAACCGCCATATCGGCCCGATTAGGCAAGTTAGCCATTTTTTCTGGAGGGTCGGCGGAATTAAAGGGGGTCAGGTGATGCGTCAGGTGGCACCTTTTCTGGTATCAAAAAGGGCCGGTGAGATTTGAAGTATCAGAAAATTTCCCAAGAAGGAAAAATAACCTTTTCATGCCCACCCGCACTAAAAGCTGACCCCGGACAAAGTACGGAGGACGTCGACTATCTAGTTACCTCGTAAGTCGGAACTGCTGGTCGGGATTGGACTGGTCAGGGGCTGACAATCCTGGAGCATCCCGTGGCTGCCGACCGATCACCTGACGGTCTAGAATTGTTCGGCTTCACATCTTTTTTTCGAGGACAAGTAGACATTAGACTGACTAAATACTTAAATGTGCAGGGATTAAGGTTCGTCCGGGGCGTGTCCGGTGATGCCGGCAGCCCGCGTGTGCGGCGCGACCGAAAAAAAGTTGATCTGCTTTGCTCTCTCCTGCATGATTGATTGTTTTTGATTGTTGAGGGTTTAAAGCCCTTATTGCTAACTTGCTACTGTGTCCTCTGTCGTCCACTCTTCCAATCTTCCACCCCCCCACACACGCTGCACATTAGAATTTTTTTATTATCTTCCTTCTGGAGCTTCACCGGAATCCCCGCCACCACGGTTCATCTCCAATGGGTCGGAATGGAGCCAATTGCTCGCCGATGCCTCCCTCCTTCTTTGTGCTCCAACTGGGGCCCGCGATCCACCATGGATCCAGTCCGCCGCTCGCCAGGACAGCACCGGTCCGAAAAAGCAAGGCTACCGGTCCATGATCCATCTATTCGAGGCTATTGGAAGTTTCCAACGCCACCGCATGATGTAATTCTATTCCCGGCAGACTCGGCGGCGATCAGAGCGATCGGCGGTCAAAACCGGCGGTGACCCTGCGAAAGCTCCAAGCTCTCTCCTTCAGCATTTTGTGTTTCTCATTCTCATTCTCGGACTGCTTGGAAATATTCCCCCTGCTCCTCCTCCCTCCCTTTATTACCCTCTTCTTCCTCCTCCTTCTCCTTCTTCCTCTCTTCTTCTTCTTCTCCTCCTCCTCCTCCTCCTCCTCCTTCCTCCTTCATCCTCCCCTCCCCCATACACAATGGGTCCTCTCAAGCTTAACACCGCGAATTTGTCGCAAATCGTGGCGGCAGGTGCCGGCCGCGTAAAGGTGCCAACCTACCGACGTGGACCTGCCCTCAAGGAGGGCATTGTCCATGTCGGCGTGGGTGGTTTCCATCGCGCGCACCTGGCGGTCTACGTGGACCAGCTGATGCAGAATCACGGCGTGACCGACTACGCTATCTGCGGAGTTGGCCTGCAGCCCTTTGATTCCACCATGCGCGATGCCCTGGGTTCCCAGGACAACCTCTACACCGTCATTGAACGCTCCGCCAAGGGCAGCTTTGCCAATGTCATTGGCAGCATCAACTCCTACCTCTTTGCCCCCGATGATCGCGAGGCCGTCATTGCGAAGATGGCGCACCCGGATACCCGCATCGTGTCTCTCACCATCACGGAGAGCGGTTACTACTACAACGAGAACACCCACGAGCTCCAGAGCGAGCACCCGGACATTCAATTCGACCTGGACCCTGCCAACGCCAAGACCCCCCGTACTACCTTCGGTTTCCTCTACGCTGCCCTTGCTCGCCGTCACCAGCAAGGTCTCATGCCCTTCACCGTCATGTCCTGCGATAACATGCAGAAGAATGGTTCCATCACCCGTCACATGCTCGAGTCGTTCGCCCGTCTCCGCAACCCCGAAGTCGCTCAATGGATTACTGAAAAAGGTGCTTTCCCCAACGCTATGGTCGACCGGATCACGCCCCAGACCTCTCCCGCCGATAAGGAGTCCCTGGCCAACACCATGGGTATCGAGGACTCCTGGCCTGTCGTCACCGAACCGTTCATGCAGTGGGTCATTGAAGATCAGTTCTCCGACGGTCGCCCGCCCTTCGAAAAGGTCGGCGTCCAAGTGGTCAAGGATGTTCACGCAGTCGAGGAGTTCGAGAAGCACAAGCTCCGTCTCCTCAACGGCAGTCACTCGGCTATCGGATACCCCGGTCAAATGGCCGGCTTCAACTACGTCCACGAGGTTCTGGAACACCCGGATTTCAACAAGTTCGTCTGGCAGATGATGCAGGAAGAGGTCAAGCCGTCCTTGCCTGAGATCCCCGGTGTCGACATCGACCAGTACTGCAAGACCCTCATGGAACGGTTCTCCAACCCGACCATCATGGACCAGCTGCCCCGTATCTGTCTCAACGCCTCCGGCAAGATCCCCCAGTTCATCATGCCCTCGATCGCCGAGGCCATCTGGGTGAATGGCCCTCTCCGCCGTCTGTGCTTCGTCGCTGCTGCTTGGTTCCGCTACGTCAACGGTATTGATGACCAGGGTAACACCTTCGCTGTCGAGGATCCCATGCGTGACGAGCTCCAGGCCAAGGCCCGTGCTGGCGGTACGAAGCCTTCTGAGCTGCTGAGCATCACCAGCCTGTTCGGTGATGACTTGCGTAACGACAAGCGCTTCCTTCAGGAGCTCACCAACGCTATGGAGGACATTGCTCGGGATGGCATCTTGAAGACGCTGCCCAAGTACATTGATTAAGCGCTTTCATGTTGAGGCGGTGTAATTTACCTCCTTGTCCGAGTCTATCCGGTGTTGAATTTTCTACGATTAGGGAATGTTTGGGAACTGCAAGCGATGTTTATACTTTTTCTTGGGTTTTACATGCGTCATGCGGGAGCGGTTTGTTTTTTCACAAAAAGGGATGTTAAAGGATAGATAATGATAGATTGATTGATCTAATGCTATGTTTTGGGATTTCGGGCCACGTCATAAACTGACGGGCTGATCGTTTGGATTCATATCATTTCAACTATACCGGCGTATTACTCGTAGACTAAGCCCTACTATAGAGCTGTACACCATCCAAGTGAACTACATCGACGGTCCGAGCTACTAAAGGAATGTCACCAAGTAGCAACGTGTACAAATACTCTTATGTGTGCAAGCAAAGAAATACCCGACCGACCACCTAGACTACCTCCCTTCCGCTAACCAACCACCATTAACAATTCCACCACGACAAACTCTGCAATCAGGAGCCCAGTAATACCAACAATGCAATCGCATCCTATAAGCCACAACTAAATCCCCAGAATAGAGCAAACAGATAAACTCCAGCCCCTGACAACCCAAGCTCACAACACTCCTCAGCATCAGTCACATGGTCAATTCTTACTACGTACCCTAATGCAAGATGACCTGCACCCTCAGCCTTTATCATCTGCATAGCCAATCCTCCGACATCAAGGACACGTAAACCAATCCAAATCATCAATGCTTGGCTTGACGTATGTATATATGTATGTGCGATATGTCTAACGCGCTAGAGTGCAGCGACAGATTCAACAGATTAATGAAAACTTAGATGTGACTTGCTGCAGTAAGCAACAAATAACTAGCTCAGAAGATGTTTACTATTCATCACTACAATGTAGATAGATCTAATTGACTGATTCAAGGCCACGTATCCTCCGATCCGACTGACTCGCCAACGGCCTCCCCTTCATCCCTTGATAGATAGGGAGGGAGATAGGATTAAAAAATAGAGTATGTAAAGATAAACCCTTTCCGGGATTGCCGAGGATTTGGCATAGCATACCACAACTACTCCGTACCCCGGGCTATAGCCTATCTTATCTGACCAGCGTAAAAGAGGCTCTGCTTGTTGTTTGAATTGAGGGTTACTTAGTTGGATTTACCTCTACCTAACCGACTTAATCTACTACATCTGGATCCTTTCACTCATTACCGTGATGTCTGAAAGAATGAGCGGCCCGAACACCGGCCAACAAAGAAGTCCCATCCTCAAGTTGTCCCCCCCGAACCCTGAAGGGAACCGTTTCCTTTGTAAACTTGCGCTAGCATTAACTACTCATTCAAACTAGAAGAAAAAGAAGTTCCCCACGTTCCTGTAGCAGATGATCTCCCCCCCCCGGGAGCTCCACAGTTAATTACCAGGTGAATACTACTCCGTAGCATTAACGCTAATACATCAAATCCTGTATTTTACTCCCCACATATGCTAATCGACCGCCGAACCCCCTCCCGCAATGCTACTTTTCCCATCCCTAAACCCCCAAAAACCAGTCGTTTTTCGAGCGGAAAAAAAGATCCTTTGGTCATTACCCCCTTATGGGCCCTTTACCTTAAGAATGGCAAGGTGGCCGAGTGGTTATGGCGTTGGTTTTAGGCACCAATTCGAAAGAGCGTGGGTTCGAATCCCATCCTTGTCAGTGACTTTTTGTTACCATTCACTGCTTATACTGCATGTATTTTTGATTCACTGGGCTACTTTTAGCGTTAAACGGCCTATTTTTGTCTCACAAAGTCCTTTTCAGGCTAAATTGTAGAGCCTTCACTGAATATTTTTTTTCGTTCCTATTTTTTTTTTCGGGGCTGGCGCAGACTGGAACGATAGGCGGCGGCTGCGGTGAAAGAAGGACCACTTAGTATGGGCAGCGGTGGAGGAGGGATATCGGCATTGTGTGGTTGATCCCTTAAGGGGGAACTATTCCGCATATACTCACATAAGAGATTTTGGTATTCGGTTATGATTGATCCAATTATATGCACACCAGGCTATATTTCATACACCTCTATCGGAGGGTTGGGTGGTAGGGCTGGGAAGCATACAGGATCCCCGTAGAATATATTCTCAGTTTTCTCAAGCTACCCGATGACACATCACGGCTATTGAGAATGAGTGCATAAATGGCCCTGACTACTTAACCCTAGGCTCATTCAGTATCAACGGTTTGCTAATAGACCAGTTGCGGTTAGATGTAGCCGTCATTTATCCAATATTTATCCATTTATTATAAGCACCCGAAATTCACATCTAAATTCTAAATTCTTATACCCCATCGTACCAACCCCCTCAATGTCATCCGCCTTATACTTCATCATCTCCAGTCTTATTCTGTGTTTCCCTAGAAAACACCAAGCGGACCCTTCTACGCCTGCCTTGACTGACCTCATCCGAATCCCCAGAGGGTTGACGTCCGGGACCGGAAACGGTGGGAGGAGAGATTCTCGCGGCCTTCCACTTGTAGTAGGGTGTAACAATGAAGTCATTCACATTGAACGCCACGACGATCAGTGGGATCGCAGCGGCTGCAGATGGTCCGACTGCTTGTAGTGAGTACAAATCATGGCTTTATGACTGGGGAAAGTGTGCTGGAAATAACATACAGATAAGGGGGGGTATCCACCAGCTTTGAAACTCTGGACGGCCGGTCGGTCCGTGAGGGAATTGAGCAATATTGAGCGCGAATACGGAAGAAAGGAAAATAAGTGGAAGATGAGAATTATCATCAGATTTTAATTGTGAAAAGCGGCGTGGGGCTGTCGTAGCACTCTCAGATATAGCCTGTTGTCGTCCAAACGCGGCGTCCTGGCTTGCAGTGTACTTCTCCTTGAGGTCCAAAGACAAGTTGATCTTCCTTTCATCTTAGTTCTTTCCGCTATAGATTAGGGTGAGACGAAACAAATCTTCAGCGGTTGCTTCCTCTGTCATATCTTCCAATTCTGATCTAATCACACTTGGTTCATGGGGGTGTAGATAGTTACGTAAACTGGTAAGGGGCTTTCTTATTTTCAGTACGAAATGCCTAATTGCACACGTAGAGAAGTTGAATGTTCTTTGAGAATTGGAAACTCATCAAGTGTTTTATTAACCTTCTAGAGAGGATCAAACTCCATGTCAACATGGCGATCTTGTATTTTTCTAAAATTGCTTCATGTTGACAGCATCCACGAAACATTTGGATACTTTGACTTTATCATCAATCTGAAAACCCCAACCCTTGGCCATTCCTAGGTTGTTCAATAAGCTAAGTGCTCATACTGACCACATCACAACAAGTGGGTTCTTGAGTGGTTGAGGGCTAATTTAGACTCGTCTCCGTTCTACACATCAGGTTTTGGCATTCACGTTTATAACCGAACGTAAACCGAGAGAGTCAAAAACAGTCAGAACATCTAGTACGATAGAGTAGATAGTCTAAGGGTCCTAATACACCCCTTTACGGGGAACAATGCTCACCTTCTAGTCCCCGAAGCAGTGTTTAGCAATGACATATACTCACTTTATGGCTATAGTTGACAACACACTGTCATACTACTTCTCTTTGATCATGAAATCCATTCTGTTCACAAGATATCTTCATGAAAGATCTATTCAATATTCGCAGATAAACAATTTCTTAAAACGAGCGCACAACCAGAAGCTATTCCATCAAGCCGGAATAATCGACCAGCCCTCAGCAGTAAAGAGCAACTCCTCTTTCAGGCGCATCGTTTCCGGATCCACATACACCTTCACCTTCATATCCCGTTGACCTAGATGAAAAACACGGAATATTACATATACTTCATGTGTATTTTCCGACTGGGACTCGCCGTTGGAAGTTTGTTGCATCTGCTGTGCGTTAGCAAAATAAATACACGTGACAACAATTCAAAACATAGGTTATTTGTCTTACTCGTCGGTACTGAGACTTGCTCATGAAGAAAGGCGTCTGGCAGTCCGCAGTAGAGGACTTGACTTCCATGTAGAATCGGGGTGTTTTCCCCCTCCAGATGTCCTCTCGTAGATATCCTTTGTCAATAAACAGGGAGGTTAGCATACCATCATGATCGTCGTAGGTGATATCTGCTGTTTCGTGGCCATGCCATGCTGTCATGTCTGCGTACTCGGGGAGGATGGTGACATATTTGCGGATTGTACTTTGCCAGTTGTTGCGAGTAAAGGCAGGTAGGGGTGGATCGATACGTGAAAGGAGTTCGAAGACCTATTAGGATTAGTTAAGTACGCCTTTGTACTGCAGTCATGAAGAGTTAGAAACTTACAAATAATTCTCCGGCTGCCCCGATCTTAAAGTCACGTTCTAGCTGGTCAGAGGCTCGCAGCCGGATAGGCGCAGGCGATGGGGTTGACGTGAGAAAGTTATCGAGACCCGTCATGTCGAATGCGCCCTGGCTGGGGAATACTGCGCTTCTGGCAGAAGCGAGTACCGACGTTAGCAATTGGTAGTAATCGGGGTCGGTGGTCCTGTCTGTAAAATTCTGCTCGACAGCTGGCGAGGGGCGAGCTGCAGGGAGAGACCGCATGGAGGCAGACACAACGGTAGCTTCTGTCGTCCAAGAGTCTTGTCTCGGCCTGGAGGGTGGTGGTGTGATTTCATTGGAGTCAAGTATGGGCTGTTCAACGGGGGAGCTGCTACTATTGGCACTAGATAGTTGATCGCTGTGCGAAGAGCGGCCCTCCTCTTCTACCGTTGCATCTGTGTCGTCCGCCCTCGCGATGGACATAATGCCAGCGCGGTCCAGAAGGTCCGAGACGTAGTGATTATAAGGCTGCAGAAGGGTCTGCATGGTAGTGATGAAGCTCTCGTTGAAGTCGTGGACAATCTGTGTCAACGGGTCCAACATCAGCCACTGCAGCAGCGCTAGTGGAATGCGGTCAAGGAAACAGATATCCTGATCGCGCTTGTTTTTCGGAATGTAGATAGTAAGTTGCCCGTCTCGGTCGTCCAGGTGTAGTTCACTCCTCGATATCTCGACCTTGATATCCGTACCATCCTGGTGGAGGTGCAGCTCGGATGAGATACCGTTGGTTTCTTTCATGCTGATTGTTTTTAGCGTCTCATAGAAGGCATCTTCATCCTGGACTGCTCGGGGGCTCTTGAGATGGACTGCAACGCTGGAGGATACCGGTTAGTTTAGGGTAAAAGTGTATTTTCGGATGTCTATCACCTACCGAAGGAGTCCGTATGCCTTGCGACGGATGTCACGATCAGGATAAGATAGAGGCGTAGCATCGTCTCCTCCCACCATCGTTATCTCTTTGATGTTGCATGACAAGTAGCGGTCTTTGAGCCCGGTCCATTGAAGAAATGGTTCAAGGCGAGGAATCTGGTCGACTTCAAAGTCGAGCAGCTTGGCCTTGGAGCTAAAGTGACTGAAAAGATGCTTGCGATCCGCGATCCCAAATGTACTTGCAGAAGTCTGAAGCTGCACGCCACCCTGGGGAAACCGGACTGGAAATACAGCACTGTTGAGGATCTGCTCAGGGGGTATAATGTCTGAGTCTTCACTTTGAAGTAGAGAATTCAGAGTCCAGATAGTGTCTTTGACGTCAGTCACTGATGATGATCCAGTCAGACCTTGGTCTCGAAGCTTTTCTACAACCATTTGTAAGGTTAGGGTCTGGACACCAAGGAAATCGACAAAGAACTCTCGCAAGTCGTGATAGTGATCATTGAGTGCAATGCGACCTGGAATAGAGGTAGCTGTCGACCAAAGGCACTCTGAGACCCTATACCAACTGGAGGCTACAAAGATGAGGGGATCATCCGAAAAGTGGAGTCTGATAGAGTGAGCTAGTAGTCATAATTGTAGGTGAGTAACTTACCTGACATATTCTGTTAAGTCTGGAGACATCTGTTTGGACATTCGGTTTAAATCCATATATACCGAGCTGATTTGGTCGAAGTTGTTGCACTCGTCAGACTGCAGCTTCCTCAGCTCGAATATAAGATCTTCTGCGTCAACATTGGGGATGTTCAGCGTTTTTTGAAAAAAGTCCCTGAGGTACACGGCATCTGCTCGGTTTTGCCGACAGTAGTCTGCAAAGAGAGATTTGAGGGGATAAATGCTCCTCATATCAGAAGATGCCTCCCAACGACAATCCATTGTTTCTACCAAAGTATGTTGCGGGGTCCAGATCCTATCATCTTCCCAATCAAAGATGTGGCACCTAAAGCATATCAATATAGATGATTAGTCCTGCGCAAGGCTAATACATACCTAACCGCATCTGCAGCAGAAGGGTCGTCATGACACTCCATTTGGATTTTAACATAAAGGTCAAATATCTTGTTGAGGTCAGAGAACCCTTCTTCAATGGCACGACTTAGAAATCGCCATATATGAAGATAGAAGTACAACTGAGTTTTGGGGTATCCAAAGTTGAGATTTTTGGTTAGAGCTGTCCATTCCGGCGGAAGGCTGCCTTCATCAACCGGGAAATCCAGATGCAACCACGGGAAGAACTGGTCTCCCATGAACTTGGAAACCACCATCTTCCGCGCTGGAGTTGGGATATAGGTGTCAGACAGCCGATACCTAGTGCCATTATCGCAGAGGACCTCGATATCTTGAAGTTTCTCCGCAAGGTTTGGGTTTCCAACGATTTTAGGCCCGTCGACCGACCAGCAGGCTGCAAGCAGAC